AATTTTGTGGCTAAGTTGAATAAACTCTCCAATGTCATTGGATTTCATAGGTCAAAATAATCTTGTATTTGTAGCAGAAAAATCTAGGCAAGATAATTTCTTCATCAAGCCTCTTGCCATACAACAAATTAAAAATTTGAATTTTCCACAAAATAAAATCCATTAATTCTTCAGCTTTAAATTGAAATTTACAGAACAGCTCCAAATTGAGCTTTGCTTTATCTTGCACGATGGGGAATACTTTAATGGGAGCACTCTTAAAATGTGTAGTTATTGCTCGCTAACGTCCCTTCATAGGGTATATGCTGAGATCGTCCATACAGAGTGTGTAGCAGTCCTCAACTGAGAGAGTAAAAAGTTTGATTTAGGAAGCATTCGTATGGGTTGAGAATGTAGTGTTATGAGGTGTGTGTAATGATGGTACTTTGTATTATAATGTATATAATCTATCTATTAATATTTTTGAACTCCTACCCTATTCATTGAAGAATACTGCGGGGAGATAATTTTAAATCTTGTCCCAAAATTGCCAAAACAATTGATCATCCATCCGCTTAGTGTCTCTGTTAACTTAATCTATATGCCGTATGGTTGAGGGCGTAAGTGATAACTCTACTTGACTGGAAAACTGTATATAATGAATTTAAATAGTATAATTAAAAAATGTGGAGTTATTTCAAGGAACGTATTTCACAACTGTATTATTTTAATGCAAACAGTGCAGGTTTTACCTAAATAATACAGTACAAAGTCTTTAATCCGAACTCGACTGGACTTCGGCGATTCTGGATTAAGGGTTTTTCCGGATTATAGATCATCAATTTAAATCTGGTAAGATGGCATGCAGAAATTATAAAATTAAAAATATGAAACCGTAATTTATGAAATAAAAAGCAATTATGATCTAAAGGGTATCAAAATTTACAAAAAAAAAAAAAAAAAAAAAAAAAAAAGAAGAAGAAGAGCTTAATATTTATTTGTTTGCTTTATTAAACATTTCTTTCAATGTAAGTTGCTTCGTTTTATGTGCTAATACTTTCTCTTTAATTCTATAAACAGGCATAATTTCTTGTTCAGTTCCAAATTCCGCTGTTCAAGTCCTGTAATTGCTGTGCCGAGAATACCGACTAACTTGTCAATCAAAATTTTTTCGTTTTCACTAACCTCTCTGTCACTTTCTTCATGCCTTTATCCATTTTTTGCAGCAATTCCACTTTTTGTTTGATGGACATCGAAACATGCTTTCGCTTTGTAGATCCTTTGGCTGCTCCAGAATCGGAAACTGTTTTTGAAATCGAAAGTTCAAGCTTACTTTTTATAAAATTGCTCTAACAGTCTGCAAAAAATAATAAGCCTGATCCAATTAGAAGATTAAGGAACAACGCAATCTGCAACATTAACTGAAAAGAGATAATCAGATAATTTTAGCCTAGCTTATACCGTCCGTTATACATTAAAAGCGCATGCGTAAACGCATATGCGCATGCGCAGAAAGTTTGTAGCTTTGAGGTCCGGATTATAGATCATTCCGGCTTATGGACGTCCGGATTAAAGACTTTGCACTGTAGAAAATGTGGTAAAATATAACAAGAGAAATTTAAAGTTGCAGAATGCTGCAACCATACTGTTATATGATCTTTGATGAATATGAGAAAACATGTTCATCCTAAAAGATATGGATTACGTTAAAGTTTGTTGATTAATAATCAACAAAATTTTAATTTTATCCAATTACTTCTTTTTAAAATGAAGCTAAAAATAGCCTTAAAATTTGGCACCAGTTTTGAGTAAAACTTTCTTTTTTTTTTTTTTTTTTTTTTTTTTTTTTAATGTTTTGTTTAAAAAAAATTCTGGCCCACCAGCTGTTTTCAGATTGTGCATTCGGCCTGCATGCAGTTTGAGTTTTAAGACCACTAGCATAATACATGTTTGCCAAAAAATCTCTGTCTTTTTTTATCTATTTCAAATAATTCAGTTAAAACATGTTCATATTAAAGCAAGGCTCTAAAAAAACTTTTAAAGTATGATATATATATATATATATATATATATATATATATATATATATATATGGAAAAAAAGATGAAGCATGCTCACTTTATTTAGTTGTTGTTAATTGATGGTAGATTGGTTTATCCCCTTGATAAGTCAATTAATCTGCGATCAAGACGATAGCGACGTTTTCAATACTTAAAAATTTTTACTTTTTATTTTGATATTTTTACGGTATAGGATTTTCTTTACAGATTTTTATGTTTTAATTTTTTTTAATATTCATTGTTTTAATTGAATTTCTGTTCCTTGGAGATGGTGTGTAAAAAGTTTTCTAATTATCAATTAATTATACAGTACAAAGTCTGAGATCCGGACTAAATAAATATATCGGCACTAAATAAAATATCTCGTTACTGAAGAAACAATAATTTTAGCATAAATTTGTGCCATCATTAATTTGGCTCCGTTACTCCATATCTGCTTGGCATGGATCTCAAACCGAAACATTCTACATAGATACATTGTTGATTTTACACGTACTAATATTTTATATCCCTGAGCAAACCTGGCCAATCATTATTTATTATATTTTCCTTTCATCACTGCATGTTTATCAACACCTGACAACTTGAGTAATGACTCGTGTAGCGATGCCTAAACATTTTTTATGTTAGTAATTGAACAGTAAAGAGTATGGTAACCTCTTATGTTGACATTACTCTTGCTGATGATTACTGATTTAAGTTAAATGCGCTAAGAAATGTTGACAAGGAAAAATTCAACAAAAATTTCTTTCCATATGCTGAAAATAGATTTTGTTAATGATACTCATAGACCCAAAGATTACATTTAGTACTATTTGAATTAAGAATAACTGATTTGTTATTCACATAAACCCAGAACCAGCACCAGAGCTCGTATGGCCACACAGGCGGGCAGATATCTAGCGCCGGCCCTGAATAAGCCTTAAGTATATGTGGGAATTCATTTATTCAGGACTCTGATAAGCCTTAAGCATGTGCAAGAAAGAGACATAAGTATAATAAATAAGTAAACTAATACAATTCAAGATTAATTGTCTCAATGTGTGATAGAAGAAAGATAAAACTGAGCGGAACAACTTGTCGTTAGTCGCCAATCTCATGATACAAAGCCAGATAAGTACAGTGAACAATATTATGATGATAGCCATGAATTTTAAAGGTTTTCGGATATCGCAAACCAAAGGTGAAATTTTCCAGTTAAGGGATTTTGTAAAGAAATGTGGAGAAGTGGCATGGCCAGATTTACATATAAGCTACACAAGCTTTAGCTTAGGACCCCCCAAAAATTTAAATATTGTGTAAATAGTATTAAAATATATTGTAACAGACTTGTAAAGGCCCCATATCTCAAATAGTTTAGGGCCTTAGCAGTGTCTAAATTTGACTCTGAGAAGCGGTAATAAGTGAAGATGATAATTAAAGAAGTTTTTCGTTGTGATGACAATGCTTCTCAATCATCAGTCAATTAATGGATGGCGAAATCTGTAGTATGGTTCTAAATCTAGAAAATACCGCTACCAATAGGTGAAGAAATTGACAGAGAAGTTACTGAAAACGCAAAAATTTCGATTGACAAGTTAGTCCCAATTCTCGACGCAGCAGTTACAGGACTTCAACAATGTAACTAAACAAGAAGTTATGTCTGTCTACAGAATTAAACAGAAAGTATTAACACAAAACATGGAGCAATTTAACCAACTTACATTGAAAAAAATGTTTAATGAAATAAGCAAATAAATATTAAGCTCTTTTTTTTTTATTCCGCTACCATGTAGATCATAAATGCTTTATTATTATTTCATAAATCATGATTTCATATTTTTTAATTTTATAATTTCTACATGCCATCTTACTAGATTTAAACTGATGATGTAATATCCGTAAAAATCCCAAATCCAGAATCGCGGAAACCCCGATGAGTCCAGATCTCGGACTTTGTACTGTGTATATATATATTAGCAGGGTGCATGATTTAGCATAAGGGAAAAAACAGACAGGAAAACGTTTACAGTACACAGTAAAGCTTAACAAATTGAAAAGCAAAAAGGTACTTTATCGGATAATTTGACTTCAAAATAAGGCATGTCTGTGATTATTGAACTGAAGAGATTACCCATAACTAATCTTTCAGTCTGATGATGAGTCTGATGATGTATTTTAGAAAAAGAATTGGATCTAATTAAAAAACTGTAACTGGGATGGTTAATTCTTTACTTTCAGTATGTATGAATTTGAAGTTTTGAAATCTGGATTCGTCATTTTAATGTTTCCTCCACTAGAACATTAGTAAATAGTGGTTTAAGATAAAAGGAACCCATATTGACCACTTAAATAAAAGAAATATGACTTCTGAAGAGTTTTCTAAAATTCCACTTTTTGTTATATTTTGAATGAGCATAAAGTCTGTCACAATTAGCAATAGGTAGAAAGAACAATTTAAATTTAATTGTGAGTATGTGACAAGATTTAATCTTAGCTTCACTGATATCAAAAGCTAAGATCTGTAGGGACATTTATTAGTATGATTCTTATAATGTCATCTATACATGTGTGCTTGTCCATAACAAAAATGTGTCTACTCTTATCAACTTCAAAAGTAATAATGTTTGGATTAGAAGGAATTTCACATTTCTTAACCAAAATAAAAAGAAGGCCTTATGTATCTAATACACTGAAAGTGTGATTTCATTTATCATATTATATCCTTCTAAGATAAAATTGTCATTACACGGAAGATTTATAATTATTTGTAAAATAATTGTAACTCTTGGAATATTCATATTTTGATGCGCTGAATTAATATACTAAAAATCATACTAACTAAACATAACAGCCAAATGTTTTAATCCTTAATAGTAATCTTATAAGGTAAGCTGATAGAGACTAAATTTTGTAGCTTAAACATCAAAATATTTTTGTATTGATCATGCATATTTTTCTTTCCTCTCTTTTCATATATAGATTTAGGTCGAGAAAATGAGACTCAGAATGAAAGCAGTAAAAATGAACAACCTGAACGTCCAAGCAAGAGATCACGAAGGCAGCGTCATGTGGAAATACCTTTAAGAGAGGATTCCAGTCATGAACGTCATGAGAAAGAGATACCTGTACAAAGCTCTAGTAAAAGTAAAAAGAAGAAGAAAAGGAAAACTAAAGCAGAAAAGGAGCATGAAACAACTTCTATTGATCCACCGATTGATCCTGATGAACCAACTTATTGTCTGTGTGATCAAGTGTCATATGGTGAAATGATTGGTTGTGATAATGATGACTGTGAACGCGAGTGGTTCCATTTCTCTTGTGTTGGACTAACCACAAAACCCAAAGGAAAATGGTATTGCCCAACGTGTCGTGGTGACAGAAGCAATCAGATGAGGCCAAAAACTATTTAGTTTTCATTTTTCTATATCATTGTATAGTTCTCACATGTACATTTCATTTTTAAATAAATCAAGCTTTGAATGAAAACTAAATATATTTTTTAAACACATTTTTCTCCAAAAATTACATTTGTAGTCTTGTTATAGATATATCTTTAAAATGCGTGACGAGAAAGATTTATTTCAGCTTAAAACTATTAACATCAATCATCAATCCTATCTCAGTGTTTCACCTGTGGATTATAGCAGTATTCAGAACATGTAAATTCATTTCTATTGTATACTATGTCAAGTATGAATGTTTAAGTCCATTGTATTGTAAAATTATACATATTATACATTATATACATATAAAATTAAGTTTAAAAAAACTTAGATTTGCATATACTTTAAATAAAACTAAAAATACTTTAAATAAACTAAATTAGTACTTTAAATAAACTAAATTAATACTTGTGATATAAAACTCAAATGCAAATCTAGTGGGGGAGTTGGGGGCACCAATCTTTGGTTAAGTTTTGGCATATTTATTTTACATCTAATCCTTGTCATGTTGTTGCCAGTAACTGTAAATAACAGCAGTCATTTTAGAATAATTCTTTGGGTTCATATTCTTTGTGACATAATTAGCTTTTTTATAAATGTTTTAAAATAAGTCATTAAAAAGAGTTTTTTCAGAAATTACTAATTATAAAAATATTAAATTGTAAAAATTGATTAAATGTAAAATAAAAAGGTCTAATTAATAAAGATTTGTATTAATCAGACATTTTAGTTAGTAAGAATTTTTGGGTTAAAAAGTACATATATATATTTTCATCTGATTTTGGAAGAGCTCTTTTCCAATCAATAAATTTTAACAGTTGAAACTAATCTCAAAATTGTCTTCCGTAAGTATGAGCGGATGAAATATTCACAGATGAGGCCTCATTCACTAGGGATGGCGTGTTTAATCACCACAAATTAGCATTTGTAGGCTCAAGAAAGCCCAACGGTGTGGGGCAGCACATGGCACAGCAACGCTTCAAAGTAAATGTGTAGGCAGGTTTGGTCGGCGACTGCTTAGTCGGGCCATACCTTTTACCATCCAGGTTGAATGTCGTGGATTATCTTTCTGGAGCAAGTTCTTCCCGGCTTGCTTTGACGATGTTCCACCAAATGTGAGGTGCAACATGTGGTTCCAACACGACAGAGGCTGCTGCTCATTTTGATCTAGATGTTCATAGCCATCTCATCAGATCATTCCCCCATCGATGGATTGGGCATGGTCGACTAGTTCTCTGGTCCCACGCTCACCGTATTTATCGATCCTTGATTTCTTTTAGTGGAAAGCTGTCAAAAGTGTTGTGTATCGTGATCCTGTTATATCTGAAATGGATCTCGTGCCAAAACTCACCTGCTACAATCAAAGAAACTCACGGTGTGTTTGAACATGTTCGGCAATCAATGGTCGTCGCTGTCAGGCATGTTTGACGTCTGATGGTACTAACTTCAAGCATCTGTTGTAACATTCAAGCTGTTGAAACACTATTTGTATTCATGTCCAATAAATGTTTAAAATTAATCACTCTCTTGTTTCCTTTCTCGTCTTCTACCTCTGCTGTCACTTACCCCTGACATTTCCGGGTATAGGTTCCTATGCAATTCTCAATAATTATGATGTGCCCTACCTCCCCTAGAAGTTTGTAGTAACATTTACGGTATACCCCGTATATACAAAGTCTGTCTGAAAAGTACAGGATTGAGTCAAAAAAGGATATTTATTTAAAATTTATGGCAAATATCTTATTTATCTCCTTTGATGTATTCCCTATTGGCCCTCACACATCGACCAATTCTTATTTTCCACTGGTTGAAGGTGTGTTGCAATTCATTTTATGATAATTGTTTTAATAGCTAACATATTTTCTTCTTAATAGCCCCCAATGATTCAAAATGGGTTCCTTTTATCTCAGATTTTAATTTGGGAAAAGTGTAAAGTCATAATGTGCTAAATCAGGAGAGTACAGACTCTATACTCAACCTTTTTCGTCCGCTGGCCAGATTCTCGGAAGCGTTATTTCAAGTGAGCCGTAACATTATCACAGGCCAAGATAACAATGCGAAATAACCACACCCAATTGTTTTATCATGAAAATGTATTTTAATACGTATTTGTTAGAGAAGAGTATGTTTCTGACAGCCTGTAGAGTCATTAGGATTATTTGGAGGCAGACGAGATGAAAAATATGCAACCGCCTTCGCCGGGAATCGAACCACGGACCTCTGGAATACCGGCCCAGCGTGCTGACCACTACACCACGAAGGCACGCTTGGGAAGTGGGATAAATACCTTATAAGCTTAGCTTTTGAAATATGGCCGAACGTATTGTTAATTAAAATTTTCTTAGTTTTTGTTAAAAAAATTTTCATTTTATTTCAATTTACTAAATTACGACAAGTAATACAATTAAAATAAAAAAAAAGAAACGTAAATTACATAATTAATGTATTTATTACACAAAGACTAATAAGAACGTTGAAATTATGTACACTTTTTAACAATCTTTTCTATATCAGGCTTACAATTATTGCAAGCTACTCATAAGACATCATCCAAATGATAATCAGTGAGCCGGTTTCTATATACATTTTTTGCATACTTCATTTTAGAGTATGACGATTCACAAAGATTAGTTGATGCGAAAAATGAGCACATTTTTGTACAGTTCTGTGTTGTCCAGGCACAGTTTTCCAAAAATCGGCGTAATCCATTTCCGCCTCTCTTTTCTTTAAATAAAGCTTCCAAATGTGTGTTGTTCTTGAACTCTATAAATTCGTCAAACAGCTGTACATAACTACATCCCAATATGCCTGCCAGTTCTGATATGACTGTTGGATCTAAGTGCCAAGGATTTTCCGAGAAGTAACAACATGCTTTTAATTTTCCTTAAATCACTGAATCTACTTTTAAATTTCTTTCCAGATAATGCCATTAAGTAATTTGAAATCTTCATACAGTTATCTGAAGAAATATTAATAACGCTTACCTGTTTTAGCTTTAGTCATTGTTGGAAAATTTTGCAGTATTTGAAATGGGTTTATTTTTCTGTGAAAAAAGAAATATGGTTTAACAAATCATTTGCAGTTTTGGTTCTGAATCTCTTCTTTATACACATTAAGCTTCTCTTCGAATGCAAATATTTTATTTGCCATCTGTGTGAAATTATTTTATTGTCACCTTGTAAATTCCAAATTGAAGCGAAGTTAAGTTTATCTGTAATAGTCACACAGAAATGCTAAAATACACCACCATCCAATCATCTTGCAATTCACTGCACATTTTACTTGTTTTGCTGTAAATACAGCATAATTTCTTGCCGCAAGAGAAAAAAAAAAAACTTTCCAACACCTTGCCTCTGCTAAGGCAACGAACGAAGTATTTGTAAAAGAACAAATCGCTGTATATTGACTGCCCACTTCCTCCAAAAGGCTTTTGAATTTCTGTGGATCAGTTCTCCTGCTCGGATGTAATTCACTGTACTTACGACAGTTTTCCTCACAGAGTCTATTTCAGGACATTTAATGCGCGCAGCCAAGTTTTCCTGGTGAAAAATGCAATGAAATGTTATTAGATTTGTTGAATCATATTCTTTTTAACAGAGAAATAAACCCATTTTCCGAGCCTGTCATTGAAGTACAGCCATCGGTGCACACAGAAACTAATTTTCTTTTATCTATATTGTTCTGTTCAAAGAAATTGCGAATAATATCAATACAGTCTCTGCCTCTGGTTTGGTCCTTCATTGGGAGAAATTTTAAAAAATCTTCTTGAACTGAGTTGTCTTCGGTACAATATCTAACAAAAAAATGAACATTGTGATGTTGCTGAAATGTCAGTGCTGGAATCAAGAGCCACGCTAAAGAACTTGCAGTTTTTTTTTTTTTTTTTTTTTTTAATGCGATCGCGAATATAGCGTACTATGTCTTCACACGTCTAGGTTGAATCTGAGAGCTGGAGTTTTATAATTTCTCTAATTACTTGATTTTTGTTGTTGAATTTATCAAATAGTACACTGGAAACAGTTAAAAAAATACTCCTTTACTATTTCTGCATCAATAAATGGTTTCATTTCCTTACCAATTATATAACAAATTTCATATGATGCCTTTGTTACCGCTTCATCTTGTGACATCACCGCCGACATAACGTTTTGTTGTTGCACCAAAGGACTTTTCAAAGCTGCCAGTTTCTCCCGTCTTACGGTGGATCCTCGAGGAAACGTTTCACTAAACGATCCGTGTTTTGTTGTAAAATGGCGATCAATATTATATTCCTTTAATATAACACTTTTACGGCAGATTAAACAAGTTACTGACCCATGTTTATTTTGCACTACAAACTAGCAATTTCCCACTGATCTTGAAACAGTCTTCTTTCATCGGATATTTTTCATTTTTTCGAAGCCACTCCTGACATGGTGAATAACTACACTGGTTATCATAAATTAAGGAAAAATCACAAAAATCACGATTACTGAAAAAGTTACATGTAGAATTTAATGAAACTTACCCACAATATACAACACATAGTAAGGTATCAAAAAGAAATTACCAGACAAATATGGTAGTATAGAAATTAGCACATGTATAAAATGAACAAATCAAAGGTGTCAGTTTGCTATAGGAAAAGTACCTTCAATATGGAATATGATTGCCTCTAGAAGCAATGCAGCACATACAGCGATATGTGATGCTTTCAATTATGCATTTCAGTTATCAGTTACATGGGAAGCGAGAGCCATTGCTCTTGCAAAGCAGTTGCAAGCGCAACAAGGGTCTGAGGGGGCGGATTGAGAGCAGCTAGACGTCTCCCTAAAGTATCTCAAACGTGCTCGATAGGATTCAAGTCCGGGGATTGAGCTGGCCACTCCATGCGCATAATTGTTTCCTGTTGAAGATAATCATCTACGATGCGAGCCCTGTGTGGTCTTGCGTTGTCGTCCTGTAACAGGAAAGCATCACCTATTGCCCCGGCTTATGGCCGCACATAAACATCAAAGATGTCATCTCTATAAATCTGAGCATTCACGGCTTCCCTTGGAAAGACATGG